TGGTGGACATTCTATGAGTGATCCTGGTACTACCTACCGCGTATGTTCTCACTTTGAACTGGGGGTTGAAAGCCATTAAGCTAACGCTATTTCCTACTGCCTAGACTCGTGAAGAAATCCAACGCATGCGCAGTACTAATGATCCTATCGCCGGCCTGAAGCAGAAACTCATTGACTGGGGTGTTGTATCCGAAGATGAGTTGAAGCAGATCGACAAGGACGCCCGCTCCTCCGTTGACGCCGAAGTTGCTGAAGCCGAAAAGATGGCCCCGCCTGATCCAACTCCCCAAATTTTGTTTGAGGATATCTACGTTAGAGGTTCAGAGCCCGAGTTCATGAGGGGTCGAATTCCAGAGGAGAACTTTTACTACACTGAAGCCGATATTCCTGCGGGCCCAAAGCCTGTTGCAAGGACATAAAAGATATAATAGGTTGGCGAGATTTGTAGTTTTTGGGGTGAAGCTGGGAGTAGGGGGATGAAAGGTTGGAAGTTTCGGATTCGGAGTCCAGCAGGTATTCTGAAAAATTGTAATATTACAATCCTGTGACATTGCTGCTATCTTAGTCTTCTTGTCCTCTCTTACGTCATCCGAATCATAGAGGTTATTATACACTGTTACAGGCCTATGAAATATGTTGTGATATATTGTGATTGATGTGTGCTATATCGCGTCTCCATCCAGGAAAACCTTCCTGCTACTGTATACATTAGAGGCTAAATCAAGACCCTAGTCCTATAACTCCTAAATCTCAAAGTTGCAAGCTCCATATACGGCCGCAACGCGCAGTCGCTACTAGGGAGTCGAGGCATTCCAGCGCCAGCCACCGGTGGGATATCAAAAAAGCGACAAACCTAGCCCCTTTTTCATCCTGGTCCACAGCACACTTCGGAATTATCCGTCCACTGTAATCAAAGTTAAACCGTAGAGATATTACGATCTGGAGCAGTAATATCGAAGTTGGGGGAGAAAATAGCCAGGAAGTCATCCAGAGCACATCCACCTTAACGCCCGTCCTATACTCATGAATCATCCGGTAACTTTTGGCCTCTTCGCAGCAACAACCTCCTGCGCACTTCCCAGCACATCTCCATCATCGTCATCGTCATCGGCAATAACCCTCTTCTTCCTCTTCCCCCCGCGTACCGCACTGCCATTTGCCTCCTGTACCTTCGCCCACTTCGCCCGCTTCTCCACTCCCTCTAGTAAGCGCGCATAGTCCGCTTCAACGCCCTTGGCCGTCTCCTCTACCTTCTCGACGCGCTCGCTCTGCTCCATCTGCGCTAGCTGATCTGCATTATGCCTATAGAGGCGCTCCTTCAAAGCCAACCGCCAGAAATAGTAGCGGCGGTCATTTTCGTGGCCACTCTTCTCCTTGCGCGTGATGCGCACGGTGCTGCGATGGAGAGGCGGAATAGTGCTGAGCAGGTGCATCTCAACGAGGCGGGCGAACTGGCGTGGGGAGATCTTTGCGGCGTGGCGTAGCGCGGTGAGAGTTTCGTCCGGGCCGAGGATTAGGTCGGTAGGTATGTTGGCGTCTTTTACTAACGTCGAGGCCGGCAGCACGGTTGGTAGAGAGAGCGAGGCGAAGGCGGGTAGCGTGCGTAAGTACAGCATGTCGCAGTAATCGCGCATGTCGTCAAAGGCTTCGTTTGGATCTTCGACGGTAATTTCGTAGATGTTAGGCGTAGAGATAAAAAGGGCGAACATGGTATTGTAAAGGTGGGCGCCGTGGGATTGGGACTGGTATGGGGGGAGGATTACGAATTGCGATATCCGTTCGCGCGAGGGTGCCGAGAGAGGGTTGTATGGTTCGGCATATCTAAAGGTCTCAGGATCTTTGGCTAACTGTGGTGGTGTGTAGGAGATTGAATCGCCATTTGAGGCTTCAGAGATAGAGCCGGTTGCGCGTAGGATTTCTAGGGTTGGAAAGATCCAGAGACGGTAGGAGGTGGAAAAACCGACGATGGTATAGGGTGAGATTCCAGGTAGTTTCTTAAGTGGGGTAACTTCATAGACAAGAAATAATGTCCAGCGTTCCATTGTCCAGTCTTGGTCATCTAGATTTTGGCATGTGCCGCCTTCGATATAAAATGGAATGAATATCTGCATTCGGCGGAATATCTCCTTGGCTGCGGGGTCAGCCAGGCTAGCGCACCATATTTCGAACTGCTTGTCATGTAATGAATAACTGTTGAGAAGCTTTCCAGGAGGTTTCCATGAGCCGGCATTCGCATTTGATCCTATCAGCTCTGCGGAGGTATTCGTCCCATCAAAGACATCTGCAAATTGTTAGCCCAATAATCTCTAATTATAGTTTATCAGATGTTTCATATTGGGAACTGCTCTGGCATGTCCTAATATCCGCGCAAGGGCCGAGGACATACATTCTGGAAGATAATCTTTCAGCATTTCCTTCAAATCCATGGCTTTAGTACCGCCAAGAGGTTTCCATTTTTCTTCATACTGGATGTCAAGAGAGGGCCTGAGGTCATTGGCGCGAAAATCAAGGTTCAATTCCAAATTGCGATATCCAAATATAGTCTCCTCTTCGCCGAAGATTGGGTAGGTAAAAGTAGGGTGGAATGGCTTCGCAAAGACTCGTAGGAGATCTCCAGACTTGCTAGTTGAGCGGACAAGATTGACATTTAACGCCTCATTCGAGCCCGTTAACCCTAATAAAGAAGTTAATGCGAATGGTCAAGTAGGTTTCTGCAGTTAACGTACACTTCTCAATCTCTTCCGCCATGATATTTAGGCCTCGCGCACCGCGCCGATGCCGTAGGCTGTGTAATAGGTAGAAGGAACTATTCGCGGGGATTTGGGCTAATAGTTGGTTTTAGATTAAGGCTGGAGCGTTTGCGGAGGGAGAGTTAAGTAGAGAGGTGAAGGAAAGTCAATCGCAAATGGGGCGCGAAAGAAGGCGACGTTCACGCGTCAGGCGCCTCGGTTGGCCCTGTAGTTCTCAGCCCTATGGCAATCAGGGAACTCTGGCTTGATCAACACTCCCGCATACCACGAAAGACTACCACTTCGACTTTGACACAGCACACCAAAGGCATTTATTACTGAAAAGCAACATGCTTTGGCCCACACTTCATTCAACCAACCGTTAAAAGACTTATCGACTATAAATCCGTCCTTTGATCACCGACTTCAGGAGCTTAACTCCAACGCCAATCCAACATGTGGGACGGCCTATTTATGCTGCTCACTTTGGGCACAGTAATGGCAGTTGCGTGAGTGCGAAGGCAAATACGCCTCGAAGACAAGTTTTGACTCCAGAAGCTAATAGATGTGCTTGTAATAGCTCCTTTCTTGCCGGTGCTCTTCCTCTGTCCTTTGCCTTATCGCCGCGACAATTGCGATTCATATCTGCACTAGGCACGGGCGTTCTGGTTGGGACAGCACTCATTGTTATCATACCAGAGGGCATCGAAACTTTATACAGTGTGGGAGGGAAGGGGCAGTCACACCCCCATGCAGAGAGGGCAATCAAAGTTCAGGAGTTCCCTGGACAGGGAGTGAATGTCCTGACCGTACGCCGTTATATGGATACTGTGCCACGGGACCGACTATCTGTTGAAGGCCCCCTTAGACTTGGGGCTATCAAAGCTCCATCAATAGTTAGAGCATCCCCCCAAGGCGACGATGACTCCACTGAAGGACACGAGGATGGCAAAGACCGTACCCATGCGCCCGCTGAAGAAGACTCACCAGAAGACGGAAATCATGGGCGTGAACCTCACGCCTGGGTTGGTGTATCACTGGTCTTGGGCTTCATACTCATGTATCTAGTGGATGTCCTTCCAGACGCTTTAGCGCCTACCCAGCCCAAATATCGTCCACTGCATATTTCGCTCTCGAACCTCTCCCGGGGGCCGCACCACGCTACTTCGCCAACGATCCCTTCTTCGCCTCTTCTAGGACTAGAACCCCCGGTAGTACGCTCGTCCGCAACAACTATTGGTCTAGTAATTCATGCTTTTGCAGACGGAATTGCCCTGGGCGCGTCCACTACCGCGCCCTCAACTTCCCTCTCCTTGATCATCTTTTTGGCTATCATGCTGCATAAAGCACCCGCGGCATTTGGGCTCACCTCTGTACTTCTCAAACAAGGAACCTCCAAGCGGATCGCAAGAACTCATCTTATATTGTTCAGTCTGGCAGCTCCAGCCGGAGCCATGGTAACCTGGTGTGCAGTGCACCTTCTCGGCCGTGCCAGGTTAGGCGGAGATGACGGCTTGACGTGGGCCACTGGATGCGTTCTACTGTTCTCCGGTGGAACATTTTTGTATGTCTTCCCCTTTCAACTTGGACCTAAGACTGGCATTTTATTAATTTTTCTGCGTAAAGATACGTTGCTATGCACTCGATGAATGAATCCGCTACCTCTGGTCACTCTTACGACCATGAATCTGGCTCGAACGGCTATGCGGACGGTTCGCTTGGTGCGCCATACCCACGGCCTCCGTACGTGAAGAACCCGCTCGCAGTGAGCGAAATTGTGGTCGCTGTAGTAGGAATGCTTGTTCCGCTATTGACACAGGTCGGGCATGTTCATTGAAGATGCTACTCAGGGCCATTTTTGGGACCATTCTTGGGAAATGGAAGAGATATTGTTTGTTTATCGGCTGCTCGGCGCTATAAGGTTCTTTTTAGGAAAATTATTCGTGGTGTATGGAATATGTTCACAATAGAATTGGCTTATTTCAAGATTTCTAGGTCTTTCCCACTCCGAAGAGGACGTTTAGAGACGAATACGGGGCTTGAAATGGTAAGAAGATGCATATCCAAGTTCAGTATTACAAGTTCACACTGATCTAGACGCTCTTCTATATCACCATACCCCCTTAATATTTACTTTTATTGCAAGAACCTTACTAGACCTACCAGAGCAACTTAGGCCTCGAGTCTCTAAACCGAATGCGATGCAGGACAGATCAAAAAAGCACATGCCAACGAACCAAACGGCCAGGCAAGGAAACGAGCAAAAACTGAAGCCGGATGCGGGACTCGAACCCGCAACCTTGAGGTGGTCTGTTATAAGAGCCACACGCTCTACCGATTGAGCTAACCCGGCTCTTGTTGAGGGAATTGAAAATTTATCGACTATATGACTCCATCGGTTTTGAAGTGTGCCGCACGTATCCTAGCGTCTCGGTTGCAAATGCTTAACTAAAGCACTCCAAGGTATCCGCTCGTGCCGCTCTTCTCCATCGCCGACACCAATGACAATTAAGAGAAAAAGAGAATGTCTTGGGTAAAGCGGTAGAGATCGACTCGAATTTTACAACTCACTATCACGACGGCGCGGGAGTGTATAGCAAGTAGGAGGATTGGTTCTTGATGCTCTTTACAGTTGATCAATTTTATCCCCCTAATCTTACTTGAACTAGCAGCAAACTTCGGTTTCAGAAGGTGAGAAGGCTAGTGCAAGAATAGGAGACGCTTGTATTGAGGTTGGGATGATGCTCGAAAATGAGGGCAACAAAACAAAAATAAATCCACTTTATCTATGCCCTACCTTACACAGCTCCTAGACGAATGAAATTAGGTGTGTATAGAGTATCATTTCCTGGCAGAGTCAAGTTCATACGTACTGTTTTGCCTGTTCGACATCCAGGTCTCATCCAAGAGGTTTCCGCTAGAGATGTCCGCGTTTCAAGGCTTTATTATCTCGGCCGTCTTGATTGTACATTGTCTCATCACCCAAGGTCCCCTCTATGGTGGTCTAAGGTGTTAACGTGATATAATCGTTCTAACTTTCCGAATATCATCACATCTAAGATGACACATGGAAACAATTATTATCCATTTATACAACTCTCCATGGAGCCATTATCTTAGTAGCAGACTATCATCGAATAGTTTCTAGTAAGCGTCGGAGAGTGAAGCATGAGGAGAACCGTGAAGGCGTATCGGGTGCTAAGCAGAGCTTATCCGCCTTCCTAGGATGAAATCATGCGATGGTGTCGTTTTAATGCCTATGTCAAAGTACCGAAGAGAGATATACATGGAGAAATGAGCTAACTAGCTGGACCAGCTCCACCCAAAAGGAACCAAATCAACTCCAAAGCACCTCCAAATCACGAAAACACCATGTCGTCTCTCCAAGCCGATTTTTTCTCTTGATGCCCTCTCGTCGCTTGCCAACAGTTCCATTCATCTTCGTAGTTTTAATTGCACAAATACCTGCAGAATGAATACACAATATAATACGTGAACCCGAGGTCCCAAACGCCGTTACATAATATATCATTTCCTCGAACTAGCCATCTCGCCGTATCTGCCTCTTTCTCGCGTAGTATCGTAGGCTTGTAATACTCTAGCCTGTGATTCATCCGTTTGTGAAAAGGCATATCCTCGCTGCTTACGCATGCGCTGTACTTGTCGAACTTTGCGGATAGCTTTCTGGAACTGCTCCATCCTATATATGTGTTAGTATTGAAGAGTAGGGTATTTGAGGGAATACGAACCGTGGACGGTAATCTTGAATGTTATATTTCTGGATCTCCTGAATGTGATGATAGGCTTGCGGATAATACATACGCTTAGCGCTACATATAACTGTCAGTATAGTCTGCATATCTGCGAGGAATCGAGAAAAACTCACTATTTCCACGCGAAATCCCTTGTCAAGCACAGTGCGGGCAGTACAAGCCCCATAAGCCAAAAGACAGGGCTGGGAAATAGTCTTGGGATGACCCCTGTGTACTCGGTGGAGAAACCCAGTTTCGGAGCCACCGTCCCATAGACTGGCAAGAATATCATCCAGATAATCATGCTTCCCGGAATGGCCATTACCGTATATTTGGTCCAAATATTTGTTATCAGTGCTGCCTTGCCGAGAACTGTTGCTAAAGCCGCGGTGTACAATGCCGCACCCCATACCCAATGGCCTGCATTTTTACCATCACTTTGGGGCAAGTCCCATAAGAATATAGCCTGGGAGACGAAGTACAGGATCATGGAGTGATAGAAACCATTAAGAATCCAAGACCAGAAGGAGTGCATTTTGAAGAATACTCCCTTCTGGCTAAGTTGGTATAGTTGTGGATAGCGATCTAGGAGGCGGGCACTAACGAACTGGTCGAAGATACCGAGCACAAAAGGCGGTAGAAAGGTGAAGAAAACATTGTAAAAGGAGAGAGTCCACGATTCATATATGACTTGGCCTGAGAAGCTATTTTGGAACGAGTACTAATGCGCAGTTAGAAAAAACGAACTTTACGTTTCTATGAAGAGTAGGGGGAATAGGTTTACCCAAAACTGTGTCATGAAAAGAGCTATGTTCTTATAAAATGAGTACAGAATTACTTTGCTGATTCGCTGATAGCTCCAGGAACCGTGAACGAGGAGCAGCTTGCGGAGATAGCGGAATTGTCCAATCGCAACATCAGCACTTCGAGCGGCTTGAAGCCCCTCAACACCGCTAATACCGACGCCAACGTGAGCAGCTTGTATCATAGAGACATCGTTTGCGCCGTCACCGACAGCGAGGAGAATGGCCTTCAAGTGACGCTTCACAAGTTTCACAACCAGGGCTTTTTGCAAAGGGGAAACACGACTTAAATGGGTTAGCACCACCAGCAAGACGGACCAAGATTTATCCACTTACCAGCATATGACAGCTTTGCACATCACTGCGAGATCTAAGAACAATTTCTCCATATCTCGCTCCAGCGCAAAAGTGAGAGACTTGCCATCAATAACGAGAGCTAGAACATCCATCTCTATACCACCGACAGATTGGTTATTGATCGCGTTGAGTTTCTTAGACAAGTTATCCCTTGTTGCCTCTGCGCTATCTTCATTGACGATTAGAAGTGTCATGTCCTCACTTATAAGTTTGCAGCTCATGCCAATATTTATAGCCGTTTCTTGACGATCGCCAGTCAAAACCCATATCTTAATGCCGGCGGATTGCAGTGTGTGAATTGTGTCTGGAACGCCGTCTTGCAACTTATCTTCAATAGCGGTTGCTCCTAGCAGCGTAAGTTCTCGCTCTATAAGCTCAGCAGCTTTGTCCAGTTCTTCGGCACGATTCCCGCTAACAGTTGTTTGCGCTGTATTAAAGACATGCCACCATTCTTGATATTCACTTTCCGGAACTTCTCGCATAGCTAAACAAAGCGTACGAAGACCATCCGCAGCATATTCCTCAAGGTGCTGTAATGTTGGCTCCACGAATGGATTTTCTTTCGCAAGGCGCTCCAAAATGACAGTATCCGCACCTTTGCAATAGCACCTGATTTTGCCATCCGGACATCGGAATATTGTCGACATTCGTTTCCTAGTAGAGTTAAACTCGCAAACTGCCAACAATTCATACTCGAGCTCCTGTCCATCAACAAGAATAGTAACAGAGCGTGGCTTTCTTGCAATGAACCTGTAACCTAGCATAACTGCACCTTCAACGAGTGCGCCTTCATCGGGAGAAGCTGCTTGATATTTGATGCTGCCGGTCTTTTCGTCACCTCGCTCTGGAATAACGGTATGACAAGTAGCTAGGAGGGTGAGAAAGTGATTGATGATTTCTCGCGAAGCGTGAGTTTTCCGGTTCTCTGCAAGTCTCTTAAAGTCATGGATCCCAATTTCCTGGCCATCTTGAATTGTTGCTCTTCTATCCTCTGGAACCTCGTCGGCGTATTGGATTCCCGCAATAGAACTTTGCCTAAACTCCATCTGATTACAGGTCAGAGTACCTGTTTTATCAGAAAAAATGTACTCGATCTGACCTAGTTCTTCCACTAAGGAGGAGGTGCGGCAATTAGCCGGGGTATCCGTCTTGTCGTAGTAGATATCCAAATCAGAGTCGATCAGAAACGCTTGATAGTACTTGACAATTTCAATTGTGACGAAAAGAGAGATAGGAACCAAGTTAGAATAGAGAACCCAATATGTGAAAATATCGGAGAAAAACTGTTGAGCTGCGTTGAAACTGCCATAATCAAGATACTGCAGTTTTGAACTAGCGGTTTCTCTCACAACAAGATCGCCAATAGAACTGACCAAGCTAAGGGAAATCAGGATTGCTCCGAGCATTAGAATCTGACGGTTTACCATCCTTTCAACGGCAGTTTTCTTGATGGGTGTAGCGGTGGCGTTTCTCATAAGTTTAGTCTCATGTCCTGTGAAAACAGCGACTCCGTGGATCCAAGGTGTGTTTCGAAGAGTAGCTCCACGTAGTAGAAGTTGATCGGGTGCCAGCGGAAGCTCTTTTTCTCCTCCTCCAGCTTGAACAGTTAGCGTCGCCTCATAGGTATATAAACTACTGTTTGGCTGCTCTGACCGAATTCTTCCACTTAATCTACTTAGTTCCGCAGGGCTGACGAGGCCTGCTGTCTCTGGGATAGCTTGTTTAATTTTGAGGTTAGTTTCCCCGTCCAGATTTGCAGTTTCGATGTAGCATAGTCCTTCCGGTTCAGAGGACGCTAAAAGTACCAGGTCCGCAGGAAAGGGCTCCTCAGACTCCACTCGCACAATGTCTCCGACTGCTACATTGACCCACCGAGTGTCCTGAAAACTTGAACCCTTTAACACTCGTGCTTTGGAACCGTTGAGTGTTTTGTCCGAATTCTTCCGCCGATAGTCTTCAACATACTCTTTTATTGCAGAAACTAATAGCACAACACCGAGAGGAACGATGGTGGTGAATTTGTTTGTAGGTGAGATGTTGGGTATCTGTTGGAGTACAGCAGTGAATAAGAAGAATAAGTTTGCATACTTCGAGAACTGCTCAAAGAGGAATTTTGGCACGAATGTGGCGATATTGTATTTAGCGGTCGATATGTGATTGTCGACGTGCTTGTTTGCCGCATTCGCTGGTGGGTTATTCAAATGTATTATCCGTGGACCTAATGTTGATGGATCTGGTTGTCCGCGTCCGAAACCAAACTTGAATTTACCAGAACTACGTCTCTTGCGCTCTGGATATTTTCCGCCACCATCAAGTCCTCCGCTGTCCGTCCGTGACTCTCGAGCCCCCGCTTCCGTCAATGGGAGGTCCATTTCTGAGTATTCAGGCGCTCTTCCCAGCATGTGCTTGGCCCGGCCCACCAAACCCCCGCCAAGACTCAG